TGACAGAGTCGGTCCTCAAATACATCATGAAAGGGTGCTTTGTCGACAAGGAAACATATTCAAATGGTAGAACCACTACATCGCCTAGTGCGGGTTGCAAAATAGTTGATTTTTATATGGCGTGCAATATTAACGGCATGCGTTTGAAGTTTATAAAGAACACCAGGTCTATAAGCTACGCATGATATGAGTAAAAGCGCTTTCGTTACTTCGGTACAAACACAATATGTGCTATCATCGGAATATATTGCTCAGAGAAGACAAAAGTCACACAAAAAACGTGATAGCGTAGTTTTGCAATTGGTTGTGGGCGATTGTTCGGTATTGTATAAAGCAAATTGTAGCCCGAAGGCACACATAAAAAATGATAGACATAAATCGTTAGTGTGTCTGGATCGAAGGGGTTATACCTGGTCGACTATGACTCGGCGCACATTTTTAAGGGGTGCCAACCCCTATATGTTCGTCTTCTGACATTCAGTACAGTGTCGATACACTTCACGTTCAGTGCAGGATTATAAAGTCACGCACCAATCGCTGCTTGTAAGTGTGTTCAGTGAGGAAGATTATGCAACATGTCAATTATTTTTTTGAGTTTTGCCAAGTTGGCAAATATTTGAGATGTGTTTGTTGGGTCAACTAAATCCTTAGTGTCAGCGACATCAGTAGAGTTCTTATTAGTGGATGTTTGGGAAACGTGGCTAATTAACTATATTTTACGTAGGAGTTTGTAAACAAGCAGTTTGACCACACTTGACTGTTCTTTAAGCAGCTTTGAGTATTGTATACAAGGTTCTGGTTTGTTATGTAAAGATTTGAGTCTTGCTCCATGTCCTTAGTAAGGTATATGTATTGACGATATTGTCATGCTTCAGTAGACATCACCATGACTGCATTACTGGGAGTGTTTGTCTTGTTTGAATTATATATCAAAAGTATTAGACTCCTCTTATTTTTATAAGTATTCGACAGAGCGTTTAGCTTAAGCTCAATCTTAATATAGCTGCAGAACACAGCAAACAAGTATCCGAATATGGTCTCTGACTCA